GCTAACATCCATGCCCATCTTTCTCTACTGTATATGTGGGACGCCTACCACAGCATGGCTTGCCACGCAGTGCCATGTCCGCACCCGGGATCCAAACTGGAGAATGCTGGGCCCGCTGAAGCAGAACGTGTGCACTTAACCACTGTGCCACAAGGCCAGCCCCTATCTTTAATTCTTGACATTTTAATCATAATGTATCTTGGTATGGGCCTCTTTGGGTTTATCTTGTTTGGTGTTCTCTGTGCTTTTTATACCTGGATGTGAATTTTCTTCCTTAAGTTAGGAAGGTTTTCAGCTATTATTTCTTCAAATAGATTCTCTGCCCCTTTGTCTCTCTCTTCTCCTTCTGGGACACCTACAATATGAATGTTAGTGTGCTTGATGTTGTCCCAGAGTTCCCTTTAGACTGTTCTTGTTCTTTTTGATTCTTTTTTCTTTCATCTGTTCAGCTTGAGTCATTTTCTCTAGTCTTTCATCTAGCTCACTGATCCATTCTTCTGTATCACCTACTCTGCTATTGAGTCCCGCTAGTGAATTTTTCATTTCTAATATTGTATTCTTCATTCCTAATTGGTTTATATTTCCCACTTCTTTGTTGAAGTTCTCACTGAGTTCATCCATTCTTCTCCCAAGATCAGTAAGCATCCTTATGACTTTTTGTTTGAACTCTTTTTCAGGTAGATTGTTTATTTTGTTTCATTTAGTTCTTTTTCTGGGGTTTTGTTCTGTACCCTTATTTGGAACATAGTCCTTTGCCTCCTCATTTTGCCTCTTTCTCTGTGCTTATAACTATGTATTAGGTAGGTTAGCTATATCCCTTGATCTTGGAGAGTTAGCCTTATGTAAGAGATGCCTTATGAGGCCCAGCAGTGTACTTCCCTCTCGTCACCCTTTCCAAATGTTCCAGGGGTGTCCCCTGTGTGGGTTATGTGTGTCCTTCTTTTGTGGCAGGTTTGCTCTGCTGTAGGTGCCCAGGGAGGCTAGGCTGTCCCCCTGGCCAGCTGGTTGTAATGCTCAGCTGCTTGTGGCTGCTTATGGACCCTTCAGTCACTTTTTTGGGCATGGGGAGCCTCAGTATGGTTGGCTGCAAAGTCTAATAGCACATTCCTGTTACAGTTTTTCTGTTAAGTGAGTAGGCCCCCAGCATGGCTGGTTGCTAGGCTCAGGGGTTTACAATTGCTGTAGGCCTCCTGCCTGCAAGGCTCTTGTCAGCTCTCTCAGGATTGCAGCTGAATTGGGCTGCAATTCAACTGTTTCAGACTTTGGAAGCTGGGACCAATCCCCTATGTGACTGTTTGAGAAGCACAAGTCTTCTGCAGCTGACAAGCCCCACCACCCGTAGAGCCACACACACTGTCAACACAGTCCTGCCTCATGCATGCCACCTGACCCCCTGAAGTGGACCCAGTTACCCCACTGCAGAGGCCCCACAAACTCCACCAATGCCCCACACACTCCACCTGCTCCTCGTGCATGCCCTGCCCCTCAGAGGTGAGGCCAGGACCCACTCGCCTGGCTGCAGAAGTTCCAGGCGCCCAGCCTATGCAGGCCCACAAGTTGCCTGAGAGCTTGCTATTTGGTGTGGGCAGTCCCTAGGGCAGGCTGCCTGCCCTAGCTGAGCTGGAATAAATCAGCACTCCAGTGAGTGGGGCAGACCTTCTGCTAACAGACCAGTGGAAGAACTCCAGTGGTGTCTGCCTTGATCTGTGTCAGCACGCCTGTAATAGGTCACAATAATGGCTGCAGCCAATGTTTCAGTCACTGGACAGGTCTCACCTCTCACCAATATGCACGCAGAGCCTATCAGCTGAGTCTCTTTTAACCAAAGGACTGTGCTCCTTTCTTTCTTTCCAAAAGAAGGTTGCTTTCTGAAATGGGTGAATTTGTGCATGGGCCCTTTAAGAGCTGGCTTTTTCGCCCTTATGTCCAATAGCTTGTCTAGGGGTATTCCCCCTTGTTGTTAGTAGCCAGCAAAGCCGGATATTATGACCCTTGTTTTGGTTGTGCTGAGTCCAAAGGATGCTTATAGCAGTAACACTCCCCTTCTCAGGTCCCCCACTCCTGCACAGAAGGCTGCATACCTTAGGATTGCTCTGGGCTGGCGGTGAAGTGCCTGGCTTGCAAAGGTGGCTTTTTTTTCCTCCAGAAAGGAATTTCTGCCTCTTCCACCTCAGTCAGGACTGTCCCTTGTTGCAGGGGTTCTTTTTATACAGTTTCCAGTTCTCTCTCAGTAGTAATTGTTTCAAGAGTAGCTGTAAATTTGTTGTGTCTGTGGGAGGAGGTGAGTTCAGAGTCTGCCTACACCATCTTGACACCAACCTCCTTACCCCCATTTTAGTTTGCCCTCCCTATAGTGAAGATTTATTAAGATGCCCAATCATAGAATTTCCCTTGCTTTCTGACAGCATTCAATACAGAATGAACCCTCACTTTCTTAGACTGTCCCTCAAATTACCCAACCAAACCGCAAATTCTGTAATAAGTCCTTTCTACTACCCTTTTACTAAGACACCCCATGACTCCCAATTGTGTTAGTCTCCTGGGGCCGCGATAACAAAATACCACAGACTGAGTGGCTTCAACAACAGCAATTTATCTTCTCACCATTCTGGATGCTACTAGTCCAAGATCAAGGTGTCAGCACATTCAGTTTCTCCTGAGACTTCTCTCGTTGGCTTGCAGATGGCTGTGTTCTCGCTATATACTCAAATGGTCTTTTCTCTGTACGCATGTGCCCCTCATGTCTTTTTGTGTGTCCAAATTTTCTCCTTTTGAAAGGACACTCGTCAGATTGGATTTGGGCTCACCCTAATCGGCTCATTTTAACTCAATCACCTCTTTAAAGGCCCTATTTCCAAATATAGTCACATTCTGAGATATTGGGGGTTAGAGCTTCAACATATTGAAGTGGGGAGGCGACACAGTTCAGCCCATAATATCTATTGTGTGCATTCTCCCTCACTGTAACAAGTAATAAACCTAACTGGTTCAGCTACAGGTGTGTTTCCAGCAGTCTTTGGGTGGAGGGCAAACTGGTAACTGTAACAGGTAACTAACAAGCAACTAACTTTAAAAGGGAAGAAAAGCATATGTGGTTAATACAAGTGAAAACAACGTGCTTTCCAACAATGGAAAAAGAGAAATTCGTTGTGGCCATTGAGATCCAGCCAATAGATGAGTGGTATTTCACATGTTTAACCATTTTGTTTGTTTTTGTTTTTAAGGGCAGCGGCCAAATCTTATTTTTCTTCATATTTACCCCAATGCCTGAAAGAGGCAAATATATTTGCACAGTGCCTAACAGGTGCAAGATAAAGATACTGTTTCTATTCTCAAGATATATATATCTAACTTCTTTGTGGTAAAATGGGAGTAATAAAATTGTGTTTGTTGTGAGGATTAAATGAAATAATTTGTGTAAATTGCTTAGCACAATGTCTGGCACATACTAAGGACACAATCAGTGTCAATTATTTAAGGATGAGCTATTGTTTATGGATGAGTTTCACAGATATAAAATGAGTGGGAAAGGACAAGAGTATTCCAAGTAGGCGGAATGGCAGAAACCAAGGCCTGGAGATGAGGAACTGTAAAAGGGCCCCCTGTGCCCAAACGCTTTAGTGCTCAGCAATAACAGATCCATGGAGAGTGCCTCAGACTTGATAAGACAACCCAGACCTTGTTGGCAATGGGATAGCTAGAACATTTGTCTCTTGTACTTTGTCAGGGAAACGGAAACAGGTCCCCCCCCCCCCAACCGTGTGCTATTTCTGGAGAGAGGCTGTGTGACAGGCCATAGAGGCTCCACTGAGGGTGATGGTCAGAAGTCGCACACATCGAGTCTCAAAGCCTGAGCCCTGGCAGCAAAATGAGGCTGCAGCTATGGCAGCAGAGAAACCTGTAATCCGGTTTGCCTGACTGGAGAAGCTGTGCCTAGGCAATGGCTTGCGGGAGCAAGTGCACACAAAAGTAGCTTAGTTTTACCCCTTCTGTTCTAGCACGAACCTTTCCATCTCTTGCCCTGGCTCCTAGGGGTGGTGGCTCAGGGGTTCAGGCCCCAACCTTACCAGGGCAGGGCTCCAGGAGTGCTAAATGGTCCCTTCTAAGTTACTCTCAAATCCCTTGCTGTTTTCTGTTGGGTACCCAGGAATTCTGAAGGGAAATGACCACCTAAGGGATTTCTCAATGACAGCAGTCAGGCAGATCCCATTTCCTTCCCGGCATTCTCATGTTCCCTTCTTTTCTCCTTCTTTATTCCAAAAAACACCTCTCGCCAATTCTTTGGGGAATGACCTACCCTTCCAACACGACCCACCCTCCTGAGGGCCTAGGCTCTGAAGTTAAGGGTAGGCAGAGGTTGAATGGTTAGATGCTTGGTAGAAGAAGCCGTTGAAATATTCTTCCCCAAACTTCAGAGCGCCCCTATCTGTACACATAACTGCCCCATAAGGCATGGGAGAGTAGTGTCCAGCTGCGTGTCTGCCCGGGGAACAACACGCCACTGGCGTCGTGGACTGGGCTGGCTGCAAGGATGCGAGTGGGGGGCGGGGTGGGGGTGGGGAAGGGGGGTGCGCGCCCTTTATTACAGGTGGCCGCGCAGTGCGCGCTCCCGGGCGCCTGAGGGGCGGGAAGGACAGACGGACAGAGTGGGAGGGGGCACATGGGGAAGGGACCGTAGAAAGGGTAAAGAGAGAGTGGGAAGGAAAGGGAGGCTTGTGGTGGGGAAGGAAGGTAGAGGGGGGAACGCGTCCAGCAAGAACAGCCGTGTTGGAGGAAACAATGGCAGGGGCAATAGCGATGGTGGCAGCCGAGGCAGTCCCACTCTGGGCACCTTTCTGAATGGGCAGAGGCAGCCCGGAGAGAAGCGGAGACCAGGCAGCGTCCGCAGAGGCTCTGAGAAAAGCGGCGGAGGGAGGAGAAGGGGGGGGAGGAGGAAAGGGGGGAGGAGGGGGACCAGGCAGGGGGAGAACCCGGGAAGGAAAACCAGTAGCATCAGCAGCAGCAGCAGCAGCAGCCGCCGCCGCCGCCACAGCAGTAGCAGTAGCGGCAGTAGCAGCATTTAGCAATAGCTTTAACAGCGATAGCGACAGTGGCAGCCGCCCTCCTTCCCTCTCCCTCCCGCGGACGACTGCAGCCACCGCACCGAGCGGGCTTCAGCGCCGCGCGCGCAGCCTGCTGCTGAGGTAGCCCCGGCCCGAGCGAGCGGTGCTGCCCGCGAAGCGCGGACCGCGGGAGCAGCCGGCAGCCGCTGAGGCGCTGAGTTTCAGGGCGAGAGAGCCCCACAGCTCTGACTCCATCTAGCGCGGCGGCGGCGGCGGCGGCGCCTGAGGGAGAGAGGCGCGTCCACCTGGCGGGCCCGGCGCATGGAGCTCAGGCAGAGGCGGCGGCGGCGGCGGCAGCAGTAGCAGCGGCGGCGGCGGCGGCAGCTCGAGCAGCGGCGGCGGCGGCGGCAGCCCAGCGTTGACGGCGGCCGCGCCAGCTCCGGCGCCCGCTGCCTGAGCCCGCCAGCGACGTGCGCCTCGGGAGTCGGCCTGTGAGGTGAGTACGAGCGCTGCCATCCAGCCCCCTGGCCTTCTCGCCGGCTCCCCGGCTTGCAGGGGTGGCGGCGGCAGAGGGTGGAACGAATTGGGGGACGCCGAGCAAGAAGAGGAGGAAGGAAAAACGGAAGGGAGGACGTCAGTGTGAGAATGGCGTGCATGTGTGTGTCTGTGTACGAGGAAGCGAGGCGGCGAGGGCGAGAGATCCCGAGTAGCCCTGACAGGCACTGCAATCTAGGAAAGGCCTCTGTGCTGGCGCCGGGGGCGGGGGGGAGGGGAGGCGAGCGGGCCGGGCCGCCGCGTCGCACGCACACAGCCGGCCAGCGGGGACCCGCAGAGTGCAGCCTCCTTTTGGGCTGGTGCCCAGGGAGATCCTGACCCGGGAGCGGGCAGAGACACCGCACGCTTCGGCGCGAGCGGGAAAACCCACGCTGCGACTGCGCCCGGGCGCCAGGGCCAAAGCGGCCAAGGTGCGAAGCGCCGGCTCCGGCGCCTCCCGCGCGCGCAGAGCTGCCCTGAGGGCCAGAGAGCGCCCCCGAGCACGCGCCGCCCGACCGGGGCCGCGGGTAGGTATAAGTTGGGGGCCCTCCCAAGCCTCGCCCAGCTTGTCACCTTTGCGGAAATTGGCCCGCGGCCCCTTCCCGCTCTCAGTGACAGTCGAGTTGATGCTTCCCTGCGTGGTTTCTGGCGCTGCACTCCGCCGCGCCCCGCAGCAGCCGTCTGCTCGGGTCTCGCACACCCGGTGGGGCGGGGAGGCCGGGAGCTGGCGCGGGGAGCGGGCCCGGCTCCGGGAAAGTGTGGAAAAGGCGCCGCTGAGTTGGCGCCCTTCTGCTGAGGAATCCAGTGGTTTCAGCATGACTGCTTCTGTCTGTCTGATTCGTGAAGGACCGAATCACCAGCGCAAGGTTTTCTTTTTCGAAGTTAAAAAAAAAATTGACATCCCCATTTTGACACCAGCACACTTGATTTTTGTCGAGCTTCTGGTTGCATTTTGGAATAAATGGGTTTCGTATCTTGCTTCTGGGTTTTGACCCCAGCATTTCGTTGAATTCTGTGCACAGCAGTATACTTAGCTATGTGGCCTTTTCCTAACGTTCCATTTTCTAGACTGTTATCTGAAAAGACGTGATTTGTGTGTAGGGCTGCCAGGGCTGTTTTTAAAAAGCATCTCAAACACTTTGACCTGGGATTTGAGTGTCTCCTCACTCGTTTCTGGTGGAGGAGCAGAGTGTGCTAATAGTTCCTGAAATATTTTGTTTGGCGAGAAAAGGTGCTCCAGTGGTCTTCTCTGAACTACACAGACCATCTGGGTTTTGGGGGGTGAATCTTCCTTACGTCTTGTCCCATGGGGTAACATATGACCAAACGTTTTATTTACGGCAATGACGTTCTCTTGGCTGAGGAGAATTTACACTTATTTAAAATACATTTTTAGAAGGGAACAAAAAACCCCTAAGTAACTGTCATTTTACATATTAACTGGGAAACTGGCTAATCAAATAAAACTGGCTGAGCGTCTGAAACTCTATCCCAGTGAAATATGTGGCTGTGAATATAATTAACCATCTGTCTAGTGAGCAATTTAAATTTGGGCTAGTACATTTTTATTACAGTGTCTAATTTCTGGAAGACTTGTACATTTTACCCAGCAGTAACAACAAAAATGTGTTTGCTTACTAGGTCAAAGATTTACTTGTGTGGTGGTGGGATTTTCCCTTCCTCTCTCCCCCACCACATCTTTCCTAGTCCCCATTCTCCTTGACCTGGGAGGTCAAAACGAGCCTCTTGCTTTTGCAAAGGGCATATTTACAATAGAGAAACTCAAACCAACTATGGCAGCTAGTGGTTAGACATTTTTGTTTCTTGGAAATACCTTCCAATATTTTACCTCCCACAGAACCTAGATAGATTGCATACATTTGAGTTGAAAAAATAAGATTTTTGTGCACATGTGTTCAGATGGAGTAGGGTGATTCAACAAAATTTAAGACTTGAAATTGGACCCCGTTTACTGTCTCTTATTCTAATTACCCACCTAGCCCTCCCCTGGCTGTCCCAACCAGCCTTCCATACCCCACAGACACACATTCACACACACACAAACACACACACACACACGCACAAATTGTCTCATTTTGTCCTTACGATCAGTTTTTTAGCTTAACAGTATTCAAATCTGTGATTTTAACAGTATGTTAAGAAACTACTTTTTTTTGGAAATCAAGTGTAAAATACCATAACGTTGTACATATTTTTAAAATTTTCCCTATGGTGCGATTTTAACGGAAATTTATTACTAGGAAAAAAAGGAATAGATTTTGGGTAGAGGTGAAATGGCCCTGGGAAGATTAGATTTCAGAGGCCTCTACCAAATAGCTGTTGTTATAACATAACATAATTAAAATGAACCATGGATTGATTGTGCAGTGGACTAGAGAACGTCACTTAAAGGAAAATACTTTTGAAACAAATATTTGGCTAAATAACAGCTCTGATAAATGGGTAACAATTATGTAAGCACATGATAGAATTTGACATATGTCAAGTCTGTTAAATAAATCAACCTGTTCAGTGAATAAATCTTCAATGCATCAGTGCTTTCTAAAACACACACACACACACATAAGCAAACTTATAGCACTCTGTTGTCAAAGTAAAACAAGTGCAGAACACTGCTGCTTTCTGTCTGTTTTACTCAATCTGTCTCTCTTCTCTTTCTTTTTTCCACAATCTTCTGATCACCTGTAAACTCCCCAGTGAGCAGAGAGAACTAAAGATGTGGTGCTGTCGCTTGTGTTTGGGAGGTGGGAAAAGAGAGATGAGAAAAGTCATAAGTGCTAGATTTTAAACACTCAAAGATGTGCTCATGGATTTATGACACAATCACTGTGGAGGTCCTGGTCTCACGGAAGTATCTGCTTGGGAGAGAAACTACCCTAACCAAAGAAGTATTGATTGCAGTTCTCTGTTCCTAAGTCCAGTTCTAGTAAATATTTTTTTTTTCCTCCAAATCCCTTAGTGAGGGGAGAAAAGGAGATTCTAATTGGCCTTTGACTCTCTTACATTATCTTTAAATTTATTTATCTGGTGGTACATACATGGTTTAAGTTTTCCGGCTTCCGGTGAGAAAAAGGAGAGAAGGACCAAAGTGGATGATGGGGAAGGGAAGTGATATACTAAGGAGTAGGTCATCGGGCTTCCCTGCTTTTCCCATCTTAAAGATTTCAGGTTTGGACGTTTTAATTTCTTTATATGTTTTTCCCTTTTACGTCCTCTGAAAAATTGCCCATCAGCTAGCTTCCTGACAGTTTCTCCACCAGAAAGCACCTTTTCAAACCCAAGGACATAGCATTAGGCACAAAGGACTTGTTGGTCTCTTCCTGCCACTTCTCCAGGGCTGCTTGGAAACAAAACAAAGGGCACTGGACAAGACCACATCACTTGAGGCTACCTTTAACTTCAGACCTTTTCTCTCGCTCAGAAATTTCATTTTAGGCAGAAGTGAACATTCCTGTCTTCTCACACAACACCGGCCTTGTACAACAGTAAACACATCACAACCTTGGGGAAATCTGGTCTGGGGTGGGATCAGCCAGGAGAGTAGAGTGGGGGGCAGGGGGAAGCTGCCTTTTAGTGATGGTAAGGCCTTTTCTGGGCTGAGTACAAAGTAAGGGATGAGGACCCTCTTTGTCTCTCTTCCCTCCAGACCCTCATTGCCCACAGTGATTTGCAGGCCTCTGTCAGGGAACATGCTCTTTTTGGTCTCTTTTTCTGTAGATAAGCACTATGACCTAATGTCTTTCCCTCCCTCGTTTTCTGGTGGAAAAAGGGCTGAAGTCTTTGGGATACACTACTATGTACATAATTTCTATTTTCCTACAAGGCACTTCAATAGGTCATTTTATCTATCCCCAGTAAGATGATTTTGGTATGAAAAATTCTCTATTTTCGCAAACACCCCCAAACCCCATTTAAAAAGTTACACTTCTCTTCCTCAGTACCCCATTTCAAGTATTACACAACTAGCCTAAGCAAGAAGCTGCTCCTAATGTTTAACCTGAGGAGATTTAGAGGTTAGAGGCCAGGATTATACCATGGGCCTGACTGCTAGAGTAGAACCAAGCCATCCTTCGTTGAGAACAGGCATAGAGATTTGTTTTGTTTGGGGGAAGTTAAAGCATTTCCTCTTTGGAGGACTATAAGTAGGGTGGCCATATGTTGTGATTTATACCTGTTGTCTCAGCATACTTATTTCACCCTCAAAAGTGTCCCAGGTTAGGGGCCGGCCCCGTGGCCGAGTGGTTGGGTTCGTGCGCTCCGCTGCAGGCGGCCCAGTGTTTCATTGGTTCGAGTCCTGGGCGCGGACATGGCACTGCTCATCGGGCCACGCTGAGGCGGCGTCCCACATGCCACGGCTAGAGGGACCCACAACTAAGAGTATACAGCTATGTACCGGGGGGCTTTGGGGAGAAAAAGGAAAACATAAAAATCTTTAAAAAAAAAAAAAGTGTCCCAGCTTGGACAAAAAATTCTGTGGTCACCATAACTATAAGCAACATTTAAATCAAACTGTACTTCTTGATTTAGCAAGATGGTTATATTTGTAAAACTTGGGGGGATAATGAGCTTTGAAGATGTCGTAGTCCCTTAACTGGCTCGGCCTGTTATTTTTCTAGCTAAGAAGTCTTTCTGGAGGATTAGATCCCAGAAATGATTCAGCCTTTGGGCTTGATGGAATTGAATTATTGGGCCCAAAGAGACATCTCTCCAAAATGTGTGTGTGTGTGTGCGTGCGTGCACGCACACACACACACACGCGCGCGCAAACACATGTGAAGAGGTGCTGTCTGCATGCTGGAGAGTGGTTCTTACTTTCATGAAAAACTGGTAATAGGTAGTAAGCTTAAAGCATGTCAGGAGACATTTCAGTTTAGAAAGATCATCCTGACCGTGGTAGTTGTAAGACAAAAGAAGGTGTTACCAGTGGAAGTGTGAATTATT